CTGAGAGCCCCTGGCAGGGCCTGAAGGGGCTCCAGGAGAGCTGGAGAGGGACTGGGGACAAGGGAGGGAGGGACAGGACAAGGGGGAATGGCTTTCCAGTGCCAGAGGGCAGGGTTAGATGGGATATTGGGAAGGAATTGTTGGCTGTGAGGGTGTTGAGGCCCTGTCCCAGGTTGGGCAGAGAAGCTGTTTCTGCCCCTGGATCCCTGGAAGGGTCCAAGACTAGATTGGATGGCGCTTGGAGCAACCTGGTCTAGTGGAAGGTGTCCCTGCCCATGGCATGGGAGTGGAATCTTCATGACTTTTAAGATCCCTTCCAACCCAAACCATTCCATGCTTCTGTGATCTTAACATGGGAACTTGCAGGAACTCCCCCAGGTTGGATTTCCTTGCTGTTGGTGCCACCTTGAACATGCCAAGGATGTGGGAGAACCACTCAGGGGGCAGCAGTTGGTGATGAAGGGAATTGAGGAAAGACCAGGCTGGTGTTGAGGTAGAACCTGCCAAGGGTTGAGTCCACCTGGACAGGGAACACCTGGTTGTTCTAAGATTTTTTGGCAGCTTCCCTGCCTGGTTTGAATTGTGTTGTGGCTCTGTTTGCACCTCCCACGTGCTGCTGAGCTCTGATGGGACACAAAGCCCTCTCCATCCGACGTGTTGGGTGCCAAAGGTTGATGGCCCAGCATGGAATGGTCGATAGCTGGTGGCTCCAACAGCTCCTGGGACAGGGAAGGGCAGGGATTAAGGGAATTGGTGCTTTCTCTGCTTCTCTGCAGGTGATTTGTGTGCTCATCCCCCTCACCCCGTGTCCTGCTGCCCCCACAAATTCAGGGGCTGATCCAGAGGGGCAAGTTGGCTGGGGCTTGGAGCAACCTGGGCTAGTGGAAGGTGTCCCTGCCCATGGCAGAGGGATGGGACTGGATGATCTTTAAGGTCCCTTCCAACCCAAACCATTCCGTGAATCTGTGATCAGCTGCATGAAATGGTCACTCCAGTGCAGTCACAATATTTGAGGACAAGAAGAACCTCAGGGCAGGGGCCTGGTGGCTCCATCAGTTGTCTCTCCATGGCCACTGACCGTGGTCTTTGTCCCCCCTCTGTGTCCCCTCCAGAGCTGTGACCCCTCTGTTCAGGCACCTCTCAAAACAGCTCCTCTTGTGCTGAGTGTCAGAGGGATGCACCTTATTTGCATAAATTTGAATAATGTCAGCTTTATTGTGCCAGTAAGCCTTCAATAAAAAGGGAATCACTTCAATAATTCAACAGTGGCTTTATCAAAACACTCCAGGTGGAAGTTGCTGGCAGGGGCAGGTTTGAAGCATCTGATGAAAGGGGTCAAAAAGTTTGGAGATCGCCCTATTTTTTATATAGTTTTTATAAATTTGCCATTCAAAGCCACCTCTCAGATTGAATCCCAAGCATTTTGATCTCTACTTTTTAACAAGTCCACTGAAAACCTTGTTGCAGGAGAACAGCTTGGATCTGCAAAAAGAGGGAAGGGCTGGAGCTGTGCCAGGGCAGGCTCAGGTTGGATCTCAGGCAAAGGTTCTTCCCCCAGAGGCTGGTTGGGCACTGCCCAGGCTCCCCAGGGCAGTGGGCACAGCCCCAAGGCTGCCAGAGCT